AACCTTCTTTTCTGGGGTGAGGAGTTATTATTTACACTATTTATATTTAGACTATTGTCCTCATCTTTGTTGTTATCACAACATTTCAGCCTTGTACCCTCTGGCCTTCATCAGGTGTATATCAATCAGGAGTAACCTACAGGAATTGTGAACTGACCCCTTTATTTAATCTATGGGGGTAGACAGTTCTTGTCCAACTGCCCATGTCTAGGGATATCTTGCCTAATTCTTATTTTTAGTACTGATCAGCTATTGCTCTGTTTCCACTGAGTGCAAGTACTCACCATCCAGCCCTAGGATTGAACTCATAAAATTCACAAGCCAAATTTTCTAATTCACTATTGGCCTGTCAGAGCAGTAAGATAGAAGAAGATGACAAGATATCCCTAGATATTGGTAGTGGAACAAGAACATTTCATACCCATTGATTATATAAAGGATTTTTTTATTTATTATTTTTTTTATAGCTGTTTGATATCTTAACAAGACAATTCTTATTTGAAAATGAATTTATAGATTTTTTTTTTTGTTTTGAGAATTTACAAAAAAAAAAAAAAAATTATAATTTTATACTTACAACATTCTAAAAACTAATAGATCAAAGAAAATGTTAAATTCACTTTCATATGTTTAGGTTTGGTTTTATTACAATTATAATCATTGCTTTTTAAAACAATAAAAATTGTCAAGGAGTGAAGGCAGTTAAAATAATAGTAGTGTCAATGAAAAAAAAATTGCCCTTTTGACACACACACATTTTTTTTTTTTTTTTTTGGGCATGAAGATCAAAATTTTCCAAATATTTTTCTTCCACCAGGATTAAGAAGTTGTTCCAACAAAACAAGTGTCATATAAATTGAAAACAGCTTTTGAGATCTGAAACTGTGAATTTTAAATTAATAATTTGTTTATAGCTTTTCTACCTCATCAGTCAGCATTTGTAAATTCCCTTTTTTTTTTACTCCAGTAATGTTTTGTAAAAGATGGACTGACCTGACCCGGATATGAATCCAATTGTTGACTACTTTGTTGGGCTTTGTTTATATGCAAATCATGTTGGAAAATAAAATATTGAAACTAAGAAATGAAGTGCTAAGTAATTTCTATTTCTTCATAGTCAAGCAAACAAAAAATGTGAATGTAAATTAATACAGACAGGGGAAAAGATTAAAAGGAAAGGTTTTCTTCAAAATGTATATTAAAGTTTAACCCCTAACCCCATAAAATCTGGAACCTGGTTTAAACAGTCATACTGACAAAACTCCAAATGCTACACTATCATAAATTTTCAAATGCTAGTTAGAAAGAGAGAAAAGAAGAGAGAGAGAGACAAAGAGATATATATATATATATATATATATATATATATATATATATATAAGAAAGAGAGATAGTGAGAGACTTACATCGCCATCCATTTTGGTAAGTAGCACAATGGCTGCACTGTTCTGATCCCAGACCATTCTCCAGAAGTCTTCCACAGTTGATTCCAAAGGATGTTGTGTTATGATGAACTCGTCTGTGCGGTTGTAGCCCTAAAGTCAAACGAACACACTCAGAATGAGAAAGAATAAACAAGTACAATACATTGGTACATGTGATTTAATTAGAAACATAAATTTCTAAGAGCGGGAAAAATTATTGACAAAATTCTGTTCTTTCCCTTAATAAAGATATTTTTTTTTGTTTCTTTCACTCTCAGTAACTCCTTGCAGCTTAGTGACTTTATCATTTGCTTCAATTGAAATGATTAAAAAAAATCTTCAACAACCAAATCTTCCAAAGTTTTATTATATATCTTATTACTATATAAATGTTGGTATCTTTTTGCATTACAGATTTGCTATTTCCAGCATTAGTGTCTCTATACTATTTTCCTTAGACAATTGCGTCTTGTATTTGAAATTCATTTCATCATACATCTGCATGGAACAACCGTAGCATTTTTGCTCATTTTTTTAAAAATATATTTTTCAGAATAACATTGCAATTATTTGGGACTTTTTATCTTTAGAAATAGATTGCAGACAATTTACAATAGAAATAAGTTGGCAATAACAGGGATTGTAAATTATTTAACACCAAAATGTATTACAAATTATTTACTATAGAAATGCATTCAAAATTAGATATTGTGAAGAAATCAAGAACATTTAAAAAATAATTACTGCTGTTGAATCATGAAATGTGTCTTTTCTTTATTCCTATCCACTATGATTGATCTATTGTAGAAATATAATGCAAATAATTTACTATAGAAATTCTTTACAAATAATTCATAATATCTTAAAAATACATTTCCATTTTTAACATGGCTTTCACAATAGATCGGTATTGCTTGGTTGAGCTACAAGTAATGAATTGGGTTCCATTTGAAAACCTGGTCTTATAAAACTCTGAATTGATTTTCTTTTCATTAGCCACCCAAATTTTATAGCCTCTACTTGGAGGGTGTGGGGGGGGGTGGCTATTTCTTTGGGTTGTATTTTCTTTTTTTTCTTTCTAGTTTTCATGATTTGTTGTTTGATACAATTCTTTAGCAAGTCTGAGAGGTGATGTAAAAGAAGGTTTTACTGAGAAAGTTATTGATTGGGGAGAGTTTTTCCAAGTATGGGAGTATTTCCCCAGGAGCACAATCTTTTGTATCTCAAATATTAATGCATTTCTGGGGATTTTCTTAACGTCTGTGTCAGCTTTCCCCTCCTTGTGGTTTGTGTTCATACCATTTTCACCTTTTTACAAATTATTATTATTATTATAATAATAAACAGCTTGATCTGTTGTACTCACTTTTGTATTTTTGGAAATGCATAAGTTAAATAATAGGTTAGCAAGGCCTCTATAGCCTTGAGTGGTAGCCAGACTAGTAGAACACCTCTGAATTCAAAACAGAAAACAACTCTATTATCTTTCCCAAGAGGTCATCACAATTCACAGAGAAAGAAAATGAATTGTGTTCAAAACTGTTTCTATGAGCAATTTTGTACTTGCCAATTGTTACTCCTTCCTGCTGAATTGGATTACGCAGACAGTTCTGAAGTAGTCAAAATTCATTCAACATGGCCAGGGAGTGTGTGTCAGTAAGTATTTAAATCACAGGCCTCACTAGGTTAGTATATAAATATATAGCAACAAGAAAAAAATGAATTATGAACTTACCTGGAGATATGAGGCATTAATATAGTCTGAGCCATCAACACCAGGCTTGACTGGTAATAAAACTCTTTTCATATCAATTGGCAGCATTTCTTGGATACGGTTCTTTGGTACATTCACTGGTTTCACAGCTTGTGAGTATTCATGTTCCTTTGGTCTGCGGGTAGTTGCCAGCTGAAAGAGTTAAAGCAAGATGCATTTAGGAGTTTTTGGGCCTTTCTTTTCTTTTTTTTTTTTTTTTAATGTCAAGAACACCCAGAGATAAAACAGTAAAGTTCATTTCTAGAAATTCAGGACTTAAAAATTGTCACCCTTAAAGCTTTCAGTAATTTAAACTTTTGTCACTTGCATATTTTTTTGCAATGTCAGATTCAGGGCTGAAACTCAACATCATCCCATTGCACCAAGAACAACAGAAAAGAAGTTTGGGATGATTTTTCTTTTTCTTTTTTTTTTTTTTTTGTTGCTGGAGATGAGATGCAAAGATGATACAAAATTTTAAATTGACATTTTATTTATTCTAAATGCAGCTAATTTCCTAAAATAAAAGAAATTTTACTTTAATTATCAAAATAATAAACTTATTTTAAAAATGTTTTTAATGTACTATTTACAATTTATATTTTAAATAATGCACTGTCAGCGTTCTCCTTCTATCCAACTTCATATGAGTCTGTATTTGGTTCTAAAAGATCAATTGACGACGTGACACGATTTTCAGCATTGAATTTTGTTTACGTGGACATAACCAAGGACTCTTTATAACAATCGATATAAAATGTCAATGATTTATTCTCTCAGTAGTTCCAATCAGGGTTTCTAAAGCTCCTCCTTTTGTAGACATCATAGTTCGCAACAACAATCACTGAGAGACTTTTTCTCCAAATCTAAAGACATGCCCCTAAAGCTTTAAAGTATTTCTTGCAGAGGACTCATTCATTTTTGAAATCAACCTCAAAGAAATTTAAAGCAAAAAAATATTTTTTTAATTTAAAAAACCTTTTTGGAGATAATTTTTTAATGATACACTGACTGACCGATCTTCATAGGTTTGGACCCCAAGAGATGGAAAACAAAAAAAAAACATAAACCGGGTTGTTCGTTGTTGTGTTTAAACATATAATTCAAATTTAAAATTTTTCTTTTTTATTGATTCACTTTTAAAAAATAAGAAAATGGTCCAAATTTATTAAACCTGGTATTTAAAAATGCATCGACAATAAAGTACCAATAAAGCCAGCTATCATTGTCGTCTCCTTAATCGGTGTAGGTTTTAAATTTCTTTCCTTCTCTTCAAATATTTCATTTTTAAAACTCTTCCTTCTTTAATTATTCAATATTCACTTAAATAAAATATTTAAATATTTTTTGTTTCAAATACAAATTAAAGCAGTTATTTTGTACCAGTAAGAAGAACTTGAATTTAGGTTTTTTTTTTTTGAATTGTGAACTCTCGACAGTATAAAAAAAAAAAATTTTTTTATGTCAACGATTTCAAAAAGGATTAAGAAATTTAATTTATGGGGCATTTCTTTTTGATAGTTTTAATTAATTTCGTGCTGATTATTTTTGCTGATATTTGATCAGGCTGATGACCAATCTTAAGAAAAAAAAAATTAAATTTACAAAAAAAAATACCATATTTTAAAAAAATGAAAATTTCTTTTTATTTTTCATATTTGATTGATTACAGAATGAATCAATTCTGATTCCCAAACTGAATTATGTTTTAATTCGTTGTTTTATTTTTTTAATTTATTTTATTCAGTATTTATTTTCTAACATTTTTATCATTGTTTCTTGCAATAAACATTTTGTTTTACTTTTCTTTTCAATGTTTTATT